TCATTTATTCTTTATTAATAGATTATAAAAAGAGGGAGGGAACCCGGATGGGGTTTGGGAGGAGGATCGGCGGGAAGGAAAAGGCCACTAAAAAAGGTTTAAAAAATGACAGCCTTTTGCTTGGGCTGTCCACTGGGGTGGAATGGGAAGGTGTACGGAGCCACCCCCACCCCCCCGCGTTCTTACACGTCTGGGTGAGGAGGCTATGGAACATGGGGAGGGGGGTTATACAGGGGCTGTAGCGGCAGTCTGTTATCCTGCTGCCGTTCCTGAAGCTGCACCAGACGCCAGAGCATGTCTGTTTGCTCACGCAGCAGCCCCAGCGTTGCATACTGCCTCCTATGATCTTCCTGCCGCCACCTCTCATCTCGAGCATCTCTCCTGTCCTCACGTTGGTCCCTCCTGTCCTCACGTTCACTAGCTTCTTTCCTATACTTTGAAACCGTGTCCTTCCACTCATTCAGATGAGCTCTGTCACTGCGGGTGGATTCCATGATTTCTGCGAACATCTCGTCTCGCGTCTTCTTTTTCCGACATCTTATCTGTGATAGCCTTCGGGACGGAGGAGGGAGGCTTGAAGAATTTGCAGCTGCTGGAGGGAGGGGAAAAAAGGAGAGAATTTTTTTAAAAAGATACATTTTGCAGAACAATGCTTATACTCTTTCACAGTGACCAACACTATTCACATTACATAGCACATGTGATATCTGTGCAAGGTCGCATTTTGCCTCTTAATATTGAGCGCCTGTGGCTTTGCTGCTAGAGATCACAGACGCAGGTCCGGGCAACAGAATTCAGCTTGCATGCGGCCATGGTAAGCCATTGTCTTTCAGCTTCTGCGCCCTCCTTTCCCACATACCAAGCAAAGCCCGTTGAGTGCTGCGGTTTTCCTGTTAACATTCAGCAGCAGAAAACAAACTAACCACCTCCCCCCCCCATCCAATTCTCTGGATGATCGCTTTACCCCTCCCCCCACCGCATGGCTGGTATCAGGGAAGATCCCTGCTAGCCAAACGCGAAAAGCTCGGGGCCAATTCCCCCCTCCCTGAGCTTGGCTAACTGCAGGGAAGGATTTCTTTTCAGCCACAGGCAAACAGCCCAGTAGGAACGGCCACCTCTGTCCCCTTAATTAAATTCCCGTATTTCAACCAGGTTACCATGAGCGATATCACTCTCCTGAGGATTACACAGCAAGATAAAGAACGGATGTTGCTTGAATGCCAGCAAACACCGGGACCATACGCTGCCAGGCTTTGTCAGGCAATGATACCAGATTACTTGCTGCAAGCATGGCGTGGTAAAGTGTCCTACCATGGAGGACGGAATAAGGCTGCACTGCCCAGAAACCTTGTGGCAAGGATTTTGGAGTACCTCCAGGAGAGCTTCATGGAGATGTCCCTGGAGGATTTCCGCTCCATCCCCAGACACGTTAACAGACTTTTCCAGTAGCTGTACTGTCTGCGAATGCATCCCAAGTCCTCAGGGCAAATTAATCATTAAAAACCCTTGCTTTTAAAACAAGTTTTATATTTTAAAAGGTAAACTCACCTGAGGTCCCTTCCATGGGGTCGTGGTCTTGGATACTGGGTTGGGAGGGTACTTCAGTCAGGCTGAGAAAAAGATCCTGGCTGTTGGGGAGAACGGAGTGCTGGGTGCTCTCTGCAAGCTCGTCCTCCTCCTCCTCCTCCCCTTCTCCGTCCGCAGAATCCTCAGGTGTAGCTGATGAGATTATCCCCGTCTCGGAATCCACGGTCAGAGGTGGGGTAGTGGTGGCGGCCCCCCCAGAACTGCATGCAGCTTGTCGTAGAAGCGGCATGTCCGCGGCTCTGACCCGGAGCGACCGTTTGCCTCCTGTTTTTTGATAGGCTTGTCTGAGCTCCTTGATTTTCACGCGGCACTGATCTGAGTCCCTATTGTGGCCTCTCTCCATCATGCACTTGGAGGTTTTTTCAAATGTTTTTGCATTTCGTCTTTTTGAACGAAGTTCTGCTAGCACTGACTCCTCTCCCCATACAGCGATCAGATCCAGTACCTCCCATACAGTCCATGCTGGTGCTCTTTTTCGATTATCGGCCTGCATGGTTACCTGTGCTGATGAGCTATCTGTGGTCACCTGTGCTCTCCACGCTGGGCAAACAGGAAATGAAATTCAAATGTTCGCGGGGCTTTTCCTGTCTACCTGGCCAGTGCATCCGAGTTCAGATTGCTGTCCAGAGCGGTCACAATGGTGCACTGTGGGATAGCTCCCGGATGCCAATACCATCAAATTGCAGCCACACTAACCCTAATTCGAAATGATAAAATCGATTTTGGCGCTACTCCGCTCGTCGGGGTGGAGTACAGAAATCGATTTAAAGAGCCCTTTATTTCGAATTAAATGGCTTCATTATGTGGACGGGTGCAGGATTAATTCGATTTAACGCTGCTAAATCCAAATTAAAGTCGTAGTGTAGACCAGGCTCAGGTTGTATTTCCAAAGCCAAGTTTTAGTGGCTATGGGTATTTTTTGAAAGAGGAAGAAACTGCTCTTGACTTAAAGAAAAATTCTTTTGCTGGATGATCTACAGACATGTAACAAAGAAAACAGCTCCCCCTTCCCTCCCCCCTAGCTTAGGTGCCAGAGGGGATGCAACTTGTAGTCTGAACAGACAAATAGTTTGTGGGATGAGTGGAAGGATATGTAAATCTTGGCCTGCCACTTGTCTAACCAGTTCCAGATGGAAATGATTTGTAGGCATCACATCAGCAGAGTTAAGATTTAAAGAGGGATTTAAGAGCACAAGGTATATGAATTTTGGTAGAGAGCTGTTCCTATGCAAGTGGGGCAGCACAAGGAAAGTGCAGAGGTGACTGAAGGAGAAGTAGGCAATTGAGAGTCTCATTAATGGCAGGTAAACGTGGGGGTCAATAGCTCAAAAATCTAGCAAATCAGATAGGTATTTGGGGCTAAATGGCGAAGAGATAGGGTTGCCAGGTGTCCAGTTTTCGTCCGGAACACCTAATTGAAAAGGGACCCTGTCCGCTCTGGTCCAGGCTCGTACAAGTCCGATTGGCGGTGCAGTGGGGGCCCGGGGCGAAGGCAAGCTCCTGCCCTGCCCTTGCCCTTGCCCTGTGCTGCTCCCGGAAGTGGACGCCAGGTTCCTGCGGCCCCTAGGTGCTGGGGTGACCAGGAAGGCTCCGCGCACTGTCCCCACCCCAGTACCGGCTCTGCAGTTCCCATTGGCCAGGAACCGTGTCCACGGAAGGTGGCGCCTGTGGACATGAAGGCAGCACACACCACGCAGAGCTGCCTGGCCGCCCAGTCTCCTGGAGGCCGCAGGGACCTGGTGGTCGCTTCCTCGGAGCCACAGTAAGCGCCACCAGGATCCTGCACCCCAATCTCCTGCCCCAGCCCGGAGTCCCTTCCTGCACCTCAAACCCCTCATCCGAGGCCCCACCCCCAGCCGGAGCCCACATCCCCCCACACCTCAACACCCTGACCCAGCCTGGTGAAAGTGAGTAAGGGTGGAGAAAAGCAAGCAATGGAGGGAAGGGGGATAGAGGGGGCGGGGCCTCGTAGAAAGGGCAGGGCATGGGCGTGGCCTATAGAAGGGGCAGGGGTGTTCGTTTTTCTGTGATTAGAAAGTTGGCAACTCTACGAAGGGACTGAAGTCAAATACAGGAAACTTGTGTTTGATATGGTGTAAAAGGCGGACTCAGAAGAGAGGGATGATATGGTTAGAATGCAGAGCCCAAAAAGATGATTCTAGCTGGAACATTTTGAATAGATTTGAGGGGGAGATGTCTGTAATCTAGGCACAAGATAATGTGGGCCTTTACAAACATGTTAACAGTCTTGACAGTCAGAAAGTCAGTCCTGGAAATGTTTGTGTAGATAGAAGCGGCATGACTTGGACATTTCCTGGATGTGTGGCTCCAAACAAGAGCGAAGTCAAAGGTGATGTCCTGATTATGGACTTCAGTGACTGGAAAGATGGTGATGTTGGTGGAGATTTTCTAAGGCACAAATCTTCTCCAACATCACAATTTTCCCAGTAACACAGGCCCATAATCTGGGCATCCTCTTGACTCCACTTTCTCGCCTGCATTTATACCTTTTGAAAATCTCCTTCATTATCCATGGAAAATCTTTCCTTGTTATCCACCCACAGAAAAATGGAGAGGGAGAAGTCTTGGGAGTTGAGAAGATCACTAGCTCAGTTTTGGCCTCATTGAACTTTTTATAACACTTTTTTAAAGGTTATATAGAATTGTAGTTTATTTAACATACCCTAAGTGAGGCATCAGAATGGAGTTTCTTAATTATAATATGTTAGATAGATTTAAAACAACATTTTTTTTTTTTTTTTTTTACAATTTTTGTAACCAGGTTCTGGAAACCAGAACATTTAACCCATAGAAGGTGTGTTCTGTTTTTCAGAGAAATGAAAGAAGTACAACTCCTCTGATCTGCCAGTGATTATGTTTTTGAAAAGTACTGACCTGGGAGGAAAAAACTTACAATGCTCTAGTGTTTTTAAACCTTTTCCTTCACACAATTGGTGAATAAAAACTTAATGCTGTATGCCTTTCTGTAAAGGTAGTCCCTGAAGCCAAAGGATTTGTAGGGTTGGAAGAAGTTTGTGAAACTGAAAGGGGTCAAGAATCAAATAGACATATATGGAATTGCAAACCAGAATACAGCGTTTTAATGGATACATTGTAGCAAGAGTACACAAATGTACACAAAACAAGATCTATATTTAGGGAACTGGGTTGTATGTTGCCAAAGTAAAGAGATGGATGATCAGAGTAGTTCTTGTAAGCTGTTTATTTTGGATAGAATCATTTGCCAGTCTAAGTCCTCACATTGCAGCTATACAGTACCATCTTGTGCTTCCCTGAATCCCACATATTCAAATTAACCTTCTGCTTATTAGAAAGTTTGTCATTTTCAACAGAGAAGTCACAAATGATAGTCTTCTGCTTCTCTTCTTAGTACATATAAAGGTTCTTCTATGGTTTAGATTGCACCGATTCTTCAGGTTTTGTTCTGAACAAAAAACAATTCAGAATTTTTTTTTATTTCCATCTACAATAATATTAATATTTTAAAGACACCAAAGTGCTTTACAAACTGATAAACAAACAAGTATCACTTTATTCACTACTAAAAAGCAGCCCAGTCTAGCAAAAAGTGCAATGGAATCTTAAATGACTGCAAATGATTAGGACAGAGGTGTCAAACTCATTTCATAGAGAGGACCTGATCTGATACCCTGCCACTTGATGTGGGCTAATTTTGCTAGATCGCTGAGCAGCATTGCTGGTTGGTCATTCAGAACAAACTAATGTTACTTGCTGAGATTCAGACCCAACCTCATGTATACATGAGGAGAAGACTGCTACGGGTCAACCACAGTCATCTTAAAAAAAGAATGTATGTCTTGTCTGGACTACAGGTGTATGATTTGTAGAGTGAACTGGTATGTTGTTCTCTAACTCCCCTGTATGGACCCTGCTGGCACACACTAAATATTCTGTAGTATGCATTGATGTAATCCTGTTTGAAACCAGGACAATATCAATGCACACTACCAGGGTCTACATGTGGGGGAGTTAAGAGTCCGACACACTGATGCGCTTTACAAATCACACCCCGTAACCTCTTGTAGTGCAGGCTTCAGGGTTGTGTAGGCAATTCATGGCAAGTCAACAGGCCAGATGAAACTGTTCCACAGGCCAGAACTGTCCCTTGGGCCATATGTTTGGCATCCCTGGACTACTGCCTTCTTTTTGAATATCATCTGAAAGCCAGTATCCCATGCAATTCCTGAGCATGGTGGTGTGGACACTAAATCAGAAGGAAAAGTGCTATCTAGTGAATCTACAACAATGCTTTTTGGAACAATAGAGTGTTCTCTGGAGCTCTCCCAATCAAATGCTGGCTTGTCCTGACACGCCATCAGGTGAGTGATCTGACAAGATCACAACCCATGATGGTGTAACTGCAAGCTCTGCTATATTTTGTATAATGCATTCTTATAAAAAGATGTTTGGTAAAACAGATATCATGTTTAAATTATAATACTGTTTTGTGGAAAATGAGGGAGCATCATTTTGCAAATATATTTCCATTCTTTTGAATTACTTGGGGAGTGGGAGCGGTTTGTGAACAAAGTGTGAGATTGAAGATAACATGTAATTAGGGCTGCAAAAAAGGAATAACAGTCTTAATAGTGCAGGATATCTGCTGGCAATATTATGAAGTATTTTAAAGAAAATTCATGTTGCGGCCGTCGTGAATATTTCCATTTCAAGCACACACTAAATACATTTGGAGCCCTAAGATCAAACTATTAAAAGTAGCTTCTCACACCATCATTCACAGTGGGATTAATGTGTTCTTTCTACATTCCCTGTTGATCCAATAAAATGAATATAATTGCATTCATATAACCGTCAAAAAGATCAAAGTAGTCCCATGTGGGGGAGGGAGGACTCTGAGCCAAAACAAGCTGTTTGGCTTGTAAGCAATTGGAAGCCTTTAAGGTGCTGAAGAACATCTGCAACGTACTCTGCAATACAGCGCTATGGAGCGTGGTTTGTTACTCAATGCATGTAACTATGATAGTGTAGAAATAGTACATGTGTTACAGCACTTCAGTAGGCTTGTGTGAACTGAATAGATTCAGTTTTAATAAAAGAAAATTCTTCAGCAAGACAGTTGTTATTAATGGATTGGGTCTATTTCATTTCTCCTCTTGCAAAATCAGTTTCCAATGTACTCCAAATAATGTAGTACAACAAAACATGTAGGTACCTGTTTATTCTTAATTGGTAAGTTAGTCACTACAGTTAAAGAAACAAATAATTTAGGGTGTTCAGAAAGGCCATATCTAAATGCATTAGAAGAAAAAATACTGACAGTTTGAAATAAAGTTCATCTATAAAACCAGCAACTGGTTAAAGAGTAGCTTTGCTAGTGTACTCTTTAAATGAAAATAAGACCAACAGGAGAACAAGTGGGTTTCCACTTTGTTAAAACAGCTCTAGGGGGACAGATAAAGAAAGGAAAGGGAAAAAGGGAAGATTAAATAAGGAGCTTTGTTAGCTAGGTCATATCAAGTATTTGCAAAAGACCTGTTAACCCTACGGATGTTGAACTTAACAGATCAAAAAATCTGAAGCAATTTTAAAGAGGCTACAGAGTCACGTCAGACTCTCCTCCGTTCAATACTGGTGTGGAGATAAGTGTCTTACTAATAATTTTCAATGGCCATGTTTGTTTAGTAGTTTCCCTATTAATGGAAATGATTGGTATAAAAGCAGGTCTGTGAATTGTGGAACCTTGTAATTGATTCTATGGTGGGCTTGTGTCCTGAGGCGATAGCGACATTTTTAAGTAAACTTGAGGTTGATTATAATCTGTAGAGAATGCTAGTAAATAGTTTGTCTCTAATACATGTTCATAACAAATATTCCAGATACTGGACCTAATGTCCAAAGAGGGTTATATTAGACTAGTGCACAGTATGTTTTTTCATGATAATGTTCTATTTAAAGGAATAGAGATGCAGTAGAACTAAGTCCAATGTAACTCTCGGTCTATGGTATTTCTAGGATGCCCATCATCACAGTATCTAAACGCTTATTAGCTGAGCTATCTCGGATGTCATCATCTCCCTACCAATAGGTAACGAATTTTATCCTGTTTTACAAACACAGTTTTCCAAGGAATAAAAATGAGCAAAGGGGGAATAGACATTTTTATATATGATTTTAATAAAAACACACATTTTCTTTTCTAAGGTCTGCAAGTATCGTCGAATGTGTTAAATGAAACACAGGAATACTCTGAATAAAGTCCTACCTGCACCTTTATTTAGATTTTGTAAGATCCCAAGCTACCTGAATTCACTCTCTTATTTTCCACTGATATAATCAGAAACCATCTTACTTTGTAGCTACTTGAACAGCATGATATAAACAGCATTGAGAGCAGTGTGCTATATAAATATCAGGAGATATTGATGAGACCACTGGGAGCTACAAAAGCGATGCTTGCCTTGTGACATTATCCAAACTCTTAAGATATTTGGATATTGTTTTTCAGGTTTTCTGGGCTGTTTTATATATACCTGTCAAAGACATCACATGAATTTAACAAGAGAAAACATGTTTATATTAAAATAGCACACAAAATGTCCCTATGCAAGATGACCTAACAATTCAATACAAAACAATATCATGGGATGTTTGTATCAATCAATTCCATTAGATATTACAGCTATTTGAATTGTGAGCAATGTCCTATTGGGGGTAGGAGATGAGAAGGGTCCATATTATTTATTTATGATTGAATGATTTAAAAAAACTTTAAAAAAAAATGCATTTGTTTCTACATCTCCATTTTATGGCACATAGAATGTAATTGTCCAAATCAGAAGTCAGCCATAGCACAGGGTTGACATCCTTGTTCTTGGGGGAAATGACATACGATCTTTTTTAGTTCCTTCCATCATTACCTTGGTTTTGTTTTTTATCTGAAAATGGCCCTGTGCTCCCTACTCGATCATCACCACTTCCTGTGGAGCCTGTGCGTTTTTGGTTTTTAGGTGGGGATTTATTATTGATGGGGAGGGCAGAGGAGAGAAGCTTCCCATCCTCTCATTCAGAGGGGTCTTTACAGTGTAATACCTGGCACTCTCCCTTCACCACACCTTCATCACAGGGGCTGACAACATGGGTTGACAGTATCAATCTCTACCCCCCAGCCTGCCACATCCTGCTTGTCCCTTCATGATATAATAATAGAAACGTACGGCTGGAAGTGACTTGGGAAGTCATCAAGTCCAGCTCCCTGTGCTGAGGCAGGACCAAGTAAACCTAGACTATCCCTGATAGGTGTTTGTTCAACCTGTTCTTAAAATCCTTTGATGATGGGGATTCCACAACCTCCCTTGGAAGCCTATTACAGAGTTTAACTACCCTTGTAGTTAAAAGTTTTTCCTAATATCTAACCTAAATCTCCCTGGGTGTAAATTTAAACCCATTATTTCTTGTCCTACTTTCAGTGGACAGAGAGAAAAATTGTTTACAATCCTCTATATAACAGCCTTAATATATTTGAAGACTGTTATCAAATCCCTCCTCAGTTTTCTCTTTTCAAGACAAAACATGCCCTCTTTTATTACCCTTTTTTCATAGGTCAGGTTTTCTAAATCTTTTATTATTTTTGTTGCTCTCTTCTGGGCTCTCGCCTATGTTTCCACATCTCTTCTAAAGTCTGATACCCAGAACTGTACCCAGTAATCCATCTGAGTCCTCACCAGGGGTGAGGAGAACAGGACAATTACCTCCGCTGTCTTATGCACAGCATTCCTGTTAATACACACCAAAATTATATTAGCCTTTTTTGCAACTGCATCACACTGTTGACTCATATTCAATTTGTGATCCATTATAGTCCTTGGATAGTTTCAGCAGGACTACCACCTAGTCAGTTATTCCCCATTTTGTAGTTGAGCATTTGATTTTTCCTTCCTAAGTAAAGTACTTTCTTGTCTTTATTGAATTTCATCTTGTTGAATTCAGACCAATTCTCTAATTTGTCAAGTTCTTTTTGAATTTTAATTCTGGCCTCCAAAGTGCTTGCAACCACTCCCAGCTTGGGGTCATCCAGCAAATTTTGTAAACATACTCTCCACTGTGTTATCTTAGTCATTAATAAAAATGTTTAATAGTACTAGATCCTAGTCTGACCCCTGTGGGATCCCACTAGATATCCTCTCCTGATTTCACAGCAAACCATTGGCAATGATGATTGACAGTTACATGAGCTATCAAGGGTTTTCATTCCCTTCCTGGCTATTTCATTCCTCGTAGCCATCACCTTGGCCAGGAGAGTTGGGGAGCTTGGATGGCTGATCCACCATACACAGTGTCCTATTAAGATAAGATGACACCACACCCTCACTTCCTGCCTAAAGTTTTTTCAGAATTCCACATTAATTAGGAGATTCACTTACTGGTGCTTCACCCCAAGCCTCC